TAATCGGAATTCACTTCAAATATCATCCATTAAACCTGTTGGAATCATCAAAAACGTGCAAACTTCATCTAATCTCACTCAAATCCGAAATCATTCAAGGTATTTTTCCAAAACTTATTTTTATCAATTTATGAACATAGAACTAGTTTTAATTAGTTCTAGGTTGAATTTTTGATCGGGCATTGATTATTTAGTGATTAGAAACTAGATATTACAACTAATTTCATCAAAAACACAAGATTGTTTCAAAATTTTCTAAATTTTCGAAATAAAAAAATTATTAATTTTCAAATATTGTGTTTTGATTAAATTATGTTGTTATTATGAAAACTATACATATATTGTTTCTCAAAACCATATTTTTCAAAAGTTTTTCAAAAAACTTTGCCCATTAGGATTGATTTAGAGAACCTTGAAATATTGATGACTCAATTGAGTTTTGGGATTGATTGAATTGCATACATGTGTTTTCTAAATTGCAGGTTATCAATTCTATTCCGATTTCCTAAACCATGTCCAATCCTAAACGTGCTAGGTCTTCATCTAGTCGTTCACACCGTCAACCAAATCCACCTCCAAATCCTCCACCTATTCCAATTTCTAATCCTAATTCTATTGATCCTAATTTGACTATCCAAAATTCGTGTTTCAATCATCCTGATCCTAGAAATCATCGGTTTTGGTATTATCAATATTTCGACTCTCACAAAATCCGGGAAGAACGTATTCCTTCTCGTCAAGCTATGTTAGCTATCAATTTTAAATATCTTCATCTTTTACAAGAGTGGAAATTTGATAAACTCTTTGACCTTGAACCCATCGTTTACCATCAACTTGTTCGTATTTTCTATTCTAATGTCGTTTGTGTTAAAAACCAAAATGAAACCGAAACCATAGGAATTCATTCCTACCTTCTAGGACAATTCTTATATATTGACTCGGCTTACATAGCCAATACATTCGGATTAGATAATGATGGTATTTCAAATGAAAAACAGGTTTTAGGATCTCGTTATAAAAGAAGGGATAGTGCAAGTGTCCTAGACCTTCATGAATGTTTTCTTCATCTAATGATTTCTTGGTGGTTTCGACCATCCGGAGGTCGTTATTCTACTATTAGAGCCTTAGATCTTTGGTGGTTACATTGTTTCGAAAACAATATTAAAATCAACCTACCTCAGATTATTTTTGCTGAAATTGTTGAAACCGTAAATCTTGTTCCTAACAAAAAACTCTGTTCATCTCTTGTTTACGGTTTCATTTTGAGTAATCTGTTTTCCAAAGCTGGGCTTAGAGTTGGTCTAGATACCATTTTTCCCCTTAAGAAACAAATTAACCTTCTTTCCTTAACGAGAGCGGGATGGATTAAGGATAATGAAACCGGTGAATGGGTTCGATCTTCTGCAAATACTCTGGGAGCTAGTTCTTCACGAGCTCCACCCGAAGCTGACGAAGATCTCGAGCTTGAGCAATTAATGTGAGACATCGATGAAGCTGAAGATGAGCCTGAGCAGCCCGAGGAGCAGCCCGAAGAGCAAGCACAACAAACGCATCCAATGCCTCCATATTTCCAATACTTTATGGAGACATTCGATTTTCGATACGCTACTATGGATTCACGCTTTACTTCTATAGAGTCCCATTTATCCACAATGGGAGTTCAACAATTAGAAATTCTTCGGGAAATGCGTGCAAATATAGAAGCAACCAACGCACGTATTAATGACCTCACTAACGAAATGGCTGCTATGCGAGCTCGTTTTCCTCCTCCTGATCCGGATATGTGATTCAATGTTTTGCTTTGAACTCCAAACTTATTGTTTTAACATTTTGAATATTTTGGAATGTTTGAATTTGTGGATTGATTGACTTTGAATTTTTTTGGATTTATGAATGGTTAGAAATTATCTATTTGGTGTGATTAAATTTATTCATTATTGCATCATTTACTTCATGATTAGATATATGACCAATTTTGCCATTTCACATTAATTATGAATATTGATTATGAAACTAATGGTTAATGTTTCTCTTGCTTGTGATCTTAGCAGCTTATATTATATATAATCAATTGGCTAAATGATTTCAAAACCTTGTTTAAATTCTTTAAAACGTCCTTTTGATTTAACAAAAAGGGGGAGAAGTGTTAAAGTGTTTTTAAATGATAAATGGAAGAAGTGTTAAAGTAAGGGGGAGTAATTTCAAAACATGATTTCAAAATCTTAAAATTACTAAAATGTTTTGTTATATCAAAAAGGGGGAGATTGTTCAAAACATTTTGATATTTCGATATAACAAATTAAGTTAAATGAATTTTAAGATTTTCCAAATGATTTTCTAAGTATATTCGATAGAATTATTCGAATATCAAAACATTACTCCAAATCTTTCAAAGATCATTTTTATCCTTACTCAAAGTGTAAAATTAAGTTTTAATCTTAAAACAATTTCAAAATAATTTTACAAAGTATTTCGAACCATTTCAAAGCCAAAAATTCCAGATTGCTCAGAGGGAACCGATTCCCCCCTGAATGGTTTGGCTCCGAGAATTCCAGTATGCTCGGAGGGAACCGATTCCTCCACAGGGGGTACCGATTCCCCCCTTGTATAACGGTCGAAATATTTGAATTTTACACTTAGGGAACCGATTCCCCATAGGGGGTATCGATTCCCCCCACGCTCCAAACTGTTTTATTAATTGTTTTCACACTAAAACGACTATATTATTTTCTCTAATTATCCCAACGTTCAGAAGTGATTCAAGGTGTATTTAAGCAAGCTTAGAAGCCATTGATCAACAAGAAGAAACATCAAGCAATTAGAATCAAGAGAGAATCAAAGAGAAATCATCAAACCTCAAGTTTGAGCATTTCAAGCCTATTTTTCATTCAATATTCATTTTGCTTTCAAGAACACTTATTGTGCTCAATTGTATTTATTCTTGAGTGTTCTTTCTTTGTTCTAGAATTGTGCAAACATATTTGCATTGTGAGGTTTTTCTTGTAAGTTTGCAAATTTGTATTTCTCTTTGAGAAAAGAGTGTTCTCAAGAATTGGGGTATATTCTTGAGGGGAGTTGTAAGGTTATCTCTTTGGCCTCAAAAGAAAGAACAAATTAGTGAATTTGTTGGAAAATCCTTAGTGTGGATAGCTAAGGTAGTGGACGTAGACTTTGGTTGATAAATTTGAACCACTCTAAATCGCTGTGCAATTTCTTTCAATTTTCTGCAAAAACTTCCACCAAAATTTTTATTGCCAATTCACCCCCCTCTTGGCCGATTCAGTCAATCGATTAACTCAACAGTTAAGTATAAAATAAGTGCCCAAACTATACTTTATTTCAACGAATAAGTGCCTACAATATTTTTTGGTTCATCCAGGTGTCTAACGTTAGAAACGTTACCCATTTAAGTTCCCTAGCCATCAACGACGTTAATTTCACTCATTAAGTGACAGGTGTCACAATCTGTTGATTTTGATTTTTTAAATTAAAATTATTATATTTATAAAAAACCTAATTTCTCTTAAATTATTAAATACCCCCCAAATCTCCAAAATTTCCAAATTATACCCATAATACGTCGATGTCGCCCTTTCTGATCACGACCACTGCTGCCGGCATAGTCTTTTCTATCCTCCTAGTTATATATCGCTGTATTTGCTGCCGATTGGCCGTAGGAATCATGTGGGATCACGATTTTGAACCTAGGGTTTAAGGGTATAAAACATCGATTCGTCGTCGATCGACCGTCGATTGGCCACAATTTCATAAGGGATTTGATAACCGGGGGGAGGTGAGGTCGGGTGGAGCTTCATCAACGGGAAAGGGTGGTGGATGGCGTGGGTTTAGGGGTTGAAATGAATATTTTCAAAGTGTTTGGTTTATTTCAAAATTTTTCTGTTTTATTTTTTAAAAATATATCAGATCATGACACATGTCACTTAATGAGGAAAATTAATGTCGTTGACGATCGGGGCACCTAAATGAGTAACCTTTGTAACGTTAGCCACTTGAATGGGTCGAAAAATACTGTAGACACCTATTCGTGAAAATATGTATAGTTTGAGCAATTATTTTATACTTAAGCCTATATTTTAAAAATTATTAAAAAACATATTTTAAGTATTTTTATTAAAATATTCTTATATTATTGTAATAATATTAAATATATAAATAATATTGTTTTTTTAATAATAACTCAATAATATTATTTTATAAAATTAATAAAAATATAAATTTTATTAATAATTTACTAATATTTTAATATAATTGAATACATTATTATAATATTAAAAAAATATAATTGAATACATTATTAAAAATATTAATATATATATTTTAATAATTAATATTTTTATTAAAATAATATTAAAATATTAGATTAATATGAAATATATCAAATAACATTATTTTGAGTATTTATGATTTATAGTGAAAGGTTTAGAAAACAACTTACTGAAAATTAGATCATAAGTCATTTTCCATAAAATAAAAAATAAAATTATGTTGATTAATAAAATGTTTTCTATTGACCAACCTATTTTCCGCTAACCAAATACTAAAAAATGAGAACATGTTTTCTAAAAAATATTTTACGTGAAACAAACAAACTCTTAATTTCTGTTTTTACTTAATTTCTATTTTTGATAATCTAATTTTTATTTTTTTTCTAAATCACAAGTTTTAGTTTTATTTTAAAAATAATAAATAAAAGTTTATAAAAAATCAAATAATATAGGGAAAAAGACAAATATTTTTTTTTAAATGGGAAGAATATGAGATAGTATTTGTTTGAAAGCTCTGTCAATTGTTTCACAATAAACATTTATATTCCTATAAACATACACTATGTTTGAATCCAAAATTTTAAAAAGATAATAATATTTTTTTTATCTAATCGTACAATATAAATAAGTATTTAAATAGAGTAATAGAGCTAAATAGGTTTTGTAATGTTTGGCCTAAAATATTCCAAATGCCACGTCTTGGCCACGTGAGACATGAGAGAGTTTCCTCGTGGAACAGTTGGCTGCGAGTCGTTGTCTTCTATCTCCCCCATTATATTTTCTTTCTCGCCATGGCCCAGCTTCTATTCACCACAAATGGATGACTACACCCTTCCCATACCTCTCTTAACCACCGCCACTGCCACCACTACCAGCGGCGCTGCCAAAGAAGATGCTAAAAATAGGGTTCCCTCACCGAGTACTCCCGGTCCCGATGTCATTTGTCGTCTTCTCTTGGTAATCCTCATCGGAACAATCTCCGTATGGGCAAACCACGAAGCATCAAAAGGATTCAAGGTAACAATAATCAACAACTCTGCCTTCAAAGTCTCCCCGGCGGCGAGACGTTTCCATCTCTTTTACGTATCCAACGACGAAGCCACTCGAATCATCTTGAACACAAGCGCTTACCCCAATCATCCCCATCTAACAAAGAAGCCAGTTCACCACGTCGTTCTTCAGTTAGCTGCCGGCGAAGAAGACAAACCGTCGACGACCAAAGTCAGCGTTGCCAGAAGCAAAGGGAAAGAATCCGTTTACGTCATCAACTTAAGTCCAACGATAATGGAGTAGAGTAATGTCAAGTACAGTGTGGTATCAGCTATACAACGTGCCATGGCTTGTAATATGGGTGTGGGACGGCGAGTCCAGCGGTGGTGCTCCGCCTTGGCTCATCGATGGCATGGCGAAGTATATATGGATGAGGGCCGGATTCGGCCACCGCGAAGAGACAACACTGCATTTTGGATCGAATTTCATACCAGACAAGTTGTTTCCGAGTTATGTTGGAGATGGAAGATGAACAACACAAGTGGTACATGTGGTGGTGATGGGAAATGGGGAAAATCAGGCGGTGTTTGCAGGGAAGAAGAAAAGGATCTGAAGACTGTGGCAGAGGCTTTGGGTTATATTGAGCAGAGGAAGAAAGGCTTTGGGTTATATTCAGAACTAACTGTAATTTGGCTTAACTCAACAGAGATGAGCCATCTTCCAATCAAACTTTTTCGAAATTAATTTTAAGTCCACAACAGAGGATATTGTGTTTGAAAGCCAATTCAGATTTAATTACAATCAAGCTTAACCCAACGACGAGGAGCTTGCTTCCAATTAAAATATTCTAACTAGATTTCAACTCTACGACATATGATATCCAGCGTGAAGAACCACTTCATATGGCTTAAACTCGCAAAGGGGAGTCATTCGAAGAACACTTCACCTGACTTAAACCCACAAAGAAGTCCTCCGAAAAACATTTCACCCAGCTTAAACCCGCGAATGAGAGTCATCAAAAAGAACATTTCATATGGCTTAAACCCGCAAAGGGGAGTCATCCAAAGAATATTACACCTGACTTCACTCGCAAAGAAGAATCGTCCGAACTTCAGCTTGAATTCCTCGGACAGAGAAACCAATCATCTAAATTAACTTTAATGTTCATAGACACACTAACTAATAATTTAGTTGACTTTTACATGTTCAACTACTTTGGGACCAAGATGAACCAGAGGAAGATTTTCAAACTCATATAATTGAAGATGTAGATAAACCCCCTGAAATGGACTCAAAAATGCCAAATCATTCTTGAGGATGTGGAAGGGTACATCAACCGAAGATTAAAGGAAAACGATGACACCACGGAATGAAGCTATATTAATTGAACAAAAATTGTTTTTTTATCTTTGCTCTATTCGCATTACACACCAATGAGGAAAGAGGGGCATAAGCAATACCCGATTTTTGTCCCGTCTAGTTTTCTTTCCCAAAGCCCAGGCATTTTATTGAAGCTGATTTTAAAGCCCAAGACATAATCCGAGTTGCAACAAATTTTCAAGCAATTTCCAAATGTTTCTAGGGCATGATGTCTTCTTGAGATATGACTAGCTTTCATTTATCTTTCCAACACATTTTGAATGCCTCAATCGAACATCAGAAACTCAAGATATGCTAATTTTAGCGAAGATAACGCGTGTAAAAAATTAGATACGGGCCCAATACGAAAAATTTAATTTATTACAAGTTTACAACATTTTTTATTGAATATTTGTAGTTAAATCAACTTTATACATTCCATAATGTATTTAGAGTGATTTAGGTTTTATTTTATTAAGGTAGGATTTTTTCTTTTTAATTAGTGTATATAGGAGTAATGAAAATATGTTAGGTTTTTTTTTTGCATTTAGGGTTTTTGGGAGCTTATAAATAGGCACTCTTATTTTGTAATGGAGGAGGCATGGTAACTTGGAAATATATGAGCAATAAGAGAAAATCTTTGACTAAAGGTAATTCTTTTTTGTTTGTGTTCTTTTATTTCGTTCAAATTAAAATTTTTTTCCTCTTCTTTTTTCTTCAAAACATTTTTATTGGTGGAGAGAAAATCGAGGAACAAGGAAAAAGACTATCTTCATAAATTTCGTCATCCTTGAGATTTCTCAGTGAAAATCGATGGTCATTTTTTTATCATTATTTTATTTTCACTGTTTCGATCAACTACGATCTTGATTTTTTACTTAAAAATTTCATTGAATGAGAGAGAATCGAGGAATAAAGGAAAAAGGGCTTTTGGATAAATCTTATAGATTTAGCCCTCCTTGAAGTTTTTTCGATGAAAATCAATGGCAGATCTTGAATGAATTTCTTTACCCTTTATTTCATTTTGATCCAATTTTTTATATATATTCAATTAAATGAGCCAATGACTCGATCTAAATTCATATGAAATCCACATGTTTTCCCACGGGTAGGAGATTAATTATGATCATTGTTCCTATAACTTCATTTGAAAATTTATTTCAGTCATATTACCTACAATTATATTTTAATTTACTTCAAAATAACCTTTCAATTTTATTTTTAATTTATACTAATCAGTTTTTAAATTCACTTAATTTATATTTTACCTTTAATATTATGTTCATTATTATGTTTCAATTAGTTTCCATTTTAATTTAGGCATAATGCAACAAAATAACCTTAATGTTTGACAGTGGTGTTAAGTTTACCCGTATTATTTTTTGAAACATTTGACCCCTTAACGTTTCATTTTAGGTCAAAAAACACCCTCGTTGGATGAAAACCATTAGTAAACTAACAGTCAGCGCATGGAGATGACATGTCAAGCTTACATAACATCGCATGCTGATGTGGCAATGCCACATATGCAAAGGTGATGACATGGCATTTGCCACGTTAGTAAAAATATTTTTTTAAAAATAATTATATTAATTTTTAATAAATTTCAACCAATACAAAGATGGCATGTGTCATCTTTTCATTAGATTATATATTAAATTGTAAATTTTGCCTTCCAGTAAGAATTTACGCTTATTTTTTAAATATTATTATTGTTTTTAATATTTTTAGGGATAAATTGTAATATTGGCCAAAACCCACTGCTCAATTCCTTCCGTTACAAAGAAATTGCAATTTCATCACCAGCAGCCATCGCCGCTACCGCTAAGCTTAAATACCCACAAGCCTCCCCTATGCCTACTCACTCTCACTCCTCCTCAGCCACCTCTACAGTTCTCTCCTCAAAACTAACCCCTACTCAACTCTCATCTTCCTTCATCCTTTTTTTATTACCACCATCTCCACCTCTTCCTCCATCTTCCCCCGCCGCCGTGCCTCTTTCACCGTCAAAGTTGCCCGCGACAAATTCGAACGCAAAAATCCCCTATCAACATCGACACCATTGGTCATGTCGACCATGGTAAAACTACCTTGACCGCCTCTCTTACTATGGCCTTAGTTTCCATGGGTAACAACCCCCCCAAAAAGTACGACGAAATCGACGTTGCCCCCGAAGAGCGTGCCTGTGGTAAAGGGGTCAAATGTTAAAAAAAAATAATAAGGGTAAATTTGACACCACTATCAAACGTTAAGATTATTTTATTGCATTAAGCCTTTAATTTATTTGGTTCCATCGTTTTTACTTTTATTCTATCTTAATTTTTCTTTTTGTTTTTACTTTCATTGTGACTACTAATTTTGGTTTCTAATTAAAGCTTTCCCTTTTATAATGTGGTTTTTAATATTATTTTTATCTTTGTTTTGATTCCACATTTACATTTCCAATTCAAAATTTTCCATTTTTTAAGAGATTTTATTTACATGGCTCATGCCACTTTTTTTATTTGTTTTGATTGTTTTACTTTTATTCTTCTTTACTTTTTTATTGAACATATCAAGGAATCTCCTTTAATTTTAAACTAATACTTCTTTTTTTTAGCTTTAATTATTTGTATCAATGGTATTTCTTTTTATTTTGCGTTATATATCATGTCTTTAATTTTGTCTTTGATTCATTTTTTATTTTGGTACCTAGGACTCTTTTACTTAATGTTTGCAGATTAGATCATGTCGTAATCGTCTTTCGGTTGGGCCCCAGAATTGGGTTTCGACTTGAAAAATGTGGATTAGAGTCGCCACCGACCATTTTAAAATGAATTTAGGTGGGTCGGACACCATCTTACATGATCTTCATTTTTACCAGAAATATGTCGGGTTCGGGAGTCAGTTACGGTCAAGGAAGGATTAGCACTCTTGAACCGCCCTTTCGGTACCAATTAATTTTCCGGTTGTCTTAGTTGCGAAAATTCGAAATTTAAATTTAAATTTAAATTTAACAGACCCGATTCAAATTACTTACAATTGATTGATTTGAATACCCTTAAAAGATAAAAACGTTAGATTCGTAGCGGAGTATAAAATCGAATTAGGATAGCAAGTGTGCAAACGTGAGAATAATAAATAAAACAAGAAAAAATGGAAAATAGCAAAACACGTAAAAATAATAAAAAATAATAATAAAAATAAACAAAATGAATAAAATGTTAAAAAACAAAGACACAAATAAAGGGAAAAAATTAATGGAGTAAAAAAATAAAAAAAGGTAAAAGAAATAAAAGGAATAAAAATAATGTGTACATATAAAGTAGTATTTACTAAAACAAATAAAAATAAATATATAATACTAAGTAAAACAAATTAAAAATAAAGATACAATATTAAGAAAAAATAATAGAAAAAAAAAATAAAGTAAAATATAATATATAAATAAATAAAAATAAAATAGAATATTAAGAAAATATATATAAAAACGTAAATATAATATTAAGAAAAAATATATACATAGTAAATGGAGAAAAATTAATACATCTATATATATTATATATAATGATATAAGATATATATAATAAAATAATATAATATAAATAAAAAGAGGAATATAGTAAATAAATAAAAAAATATAATTAAAAATATATATATAGGGGACGGAATTAATATAAAAGTAAAATTAAAGGGTAAATTTTAAGGTAAATTAAAGATTAAGATTGACTTAGGGGGAATATTAAATACTTTAAAAAAATGAACATGCCTCGAGAGTAGATCTAGGTTCGAAACTTTGAAACCCCACCCCTTTTTGGTCATCGGCGCAACCCATGTTTTGGGTTATTCAAACCAAAGAAAAATAACATGCACATGCGAGAAATGAACGAATCAATGTAAAAAAAGATGCTACCTTTTATTTCATTTTCGAATAGTTTACAGTAGCTTTGCCTTTGTATTTTTTC